TTTATAACACAAATTTGTACTCTACTTGTAGATAAAAGAGTGCACTTTAATTTAATATAAAAATCATTAAAATCTATTTGCAAAAAGTATAAAAAATATTTGCAGAAACTTTTCAAAGAAATGGCAAAGTGGGAAAAAATTTGCAGCATCGCATTCTTTGACATTTTTTGAACCTTTGCAAATTGATTTATAAATCAGAAAGATACTCTACGCGTAGCCAAAAGTGCGCACTTTAATTTAATATAAAAATCAATAAAATTCGCTTGCTCTAAATATAAAAAATATTTGCCGAAACTTTCCAAAGAAATTGCAAAGATGCACTACTTACAGCATTGCTTTCTCTGACATTTTTTGAACCTTTGCAAATTGATTTAAAACTCGGAAAGATATTCTACGCGTAGCCAAAAGTGCGCACTTTAATTTAATATAAAAATTAATAAAAATCGCTAGCTCTAAGTATAAAAAATATTTGCCGAAACTTTTCAAAGAAATTGCAAAGATTCACTATGTACAGCATTGCTTTCTCTGACATTTTTTAAACCTTTGCAAATTAATTTATAACTCGAAAAGATACTCTACGCGTAGCCCAAAGTGTGCACTTTAATTTAATATAAAAATTAATAAAAATCGCTAGCTCTAAGTATAAAAAATATTTGCCGAAACTTTTCAAAGAAATTGCAAAGATGCACAATTTACACCATTGCATTCTTTGACATATTCTGAACTTTTCATGCTAAATTTATAACTTGATATGGTATTTTTACCGTAGACAAAAGAGCGTACTTTAATTTAATGTAAGTTTTATTAAAATCTATTAACTTTTAGTATAAAAAATATTTACCAAAACTTTTCAAAGAATTAGCAAAGTTGTACAATTTACAGCATTGCAATCTCTGATATTGTGTGATCTTATGGCTGCGTGTGTCTGTGTTTGAGAATGTATTCTTTACAACGTTGTTTAAATAGTAATTTGATATTCTATAGAATATCAAAGTATTATGTTCAATGTCTAGGAAAAAGTGAAAGAATTTTTCAATTTCCGACTTCGTCTGAAGGCTCTTTGCTTTCATAGTAATGCCGAGGGATTACTAACAATGACTGATTTTCGGCTTTGATGGAAACATATATAATAAAAGAATTAAAAATTAATCATCAAAAAGTTATTGAAACGTTCTCACAGAAAAATCAGTGAATCATTAAAAAAAAAA